GCTTAGTGAAGTAAGCCAGGAGGAGAAAGACAAGTATCAAATGATTTCACTCATTTGTGGAGTATAACAACGAAGCAAAACTGAAGGAACAAAACAGCAGCAGACTCACAGACTCCAAGAAGGGACTACAGTTACCAAAGGGGAGGGATGTTGGGAGGGTGGGCTGGGAGGGAGGGTGAAGGGGATTAAAGGGCATTATGATTAGCACACATAATGTAGGGGGGGTCACAGGGAAGACAGTGCAGCACAGAAAAGACAAGTAGTGACTATAGTATCTTATTATGCTGATTGACAGTGACTGCGATGGGGTGTGGCGGAGACTTGATAATATGGGTGAATGTAGTAACCACAATGTCGTTCATGTGAAACCTTCATAAGACTGTATATCAATGATACCTTAATAATAAAAAGAAAAAAGAAAAGAAAAGAATTTATTGCTACAAGTGCAGTATAAACTTATGCTCATCCCCCCAAAAAATACCATATCCGAATATCCACCATTCCTCTCCTTCCTTCTTTCTTAAACAGAAGCACTTCCTGGAACTGTATTACTTAAGTGAGAAAGCTAACAGGCAGGAATGTGTGGGGACAGGACAATGGCAGCTACTAGGATTATTGCTTCTTCTGCCTATGCAGAGCAATAACTCTCAATGTGTGAGCTGAAGACTGCTGCAACAGAAATCTCTGGGGACACTTAATTCGAATGTAAACGACGTGCCCAACCAGACTTCCTGAATGAAACTTGCCACAGGATACAGCTCCCGAGCTTTAAAAGCCTCCCAGGTGACTCTTCTGTGCACCAAAAATTGAGAATCATTAATCAATAACAACCAGTATCTCTTCTACTTTCTAAGATGTCACTCTACACTCTGGGAACAATAAAGACTTGTCAATTAAGGGAAGGGGGGAAAGAAGTAAGAAAAAAGGAGACTAATCATTTGACTTCTCTTTATTTCACTTCGTAAAACAGTCCCTCTCTAAAGATCTTTCAAAGGTTTGCATTTTGTATATAAAACTGGCAAACTGAAGCAAAAAGACACTTCAACATTTGGAATTTACAAACCTACTAAAAATAGGTTGACTGAAGAAGTATTATTAAGAAATGTACTTTCATTTGAAAGTAGACTTATTTGGTTAATAGTAAGAATAAAGATAATAGTTGAAGAATTCGCTTCAAAGGGAAATAATGTGAGAGAAGGAAATTATTTTCATGGAGGTGAGCTCTTTCTTGAGGCTCTAACATTCAAAATACAAGTATTTACTTTTTGAGGAAAAAATATTTAAAAGACTAGCTCCCCCAGACCCCCCCAGAAAAAATCATTATAAGGAGATAGACTGCTAAAGTACCTGATCATCAGTGGCACGGCTGCATTAGGTTTGGGACTACCACTAACAGACTACGAGACTTGGGGCACGTTATCAAACTTCTGAGGAACATTTTCAACTCCAGGAAAATAGGTTTGACTACATATACTATCTTTGGTTCCTTCTTGCACTAGAATACCTTGATTTAGTTGGATACATTCTTAATAAGAGAAAAATCACATGTTCAGAAGCATAGGCATCAATGTGGCAGACTTTAAGGTTAACTTCCCTACCTGAGAAGACTTAGTGGCATCACTCCTGGGGACTCAGACGCAGGCACTGTTTCTGTGTCAGTGACTGGAGTGGTGGCAGTTGTGGTGTCCTCCAGTGAGCTGCTCATAAAGGAAGTTGTGCTCGAAGCTGATGGGCTAGTGGTAACTGGCGTCTGTGCCTGTTGGGCTTGGTCACTTTCTTCAGCTTGTTGATCAATCTCTGTAAACCAACGTAAAGGTTAAGAAAATAGTAAGGATTTATTTTTCAAAAGTGACACAGGGATGGAAAACTTTTAACTTTTAATTTGAAATGTTTATGAAATTTAAAGAAAAAGATGTTCTTACATATATATANGATTCTTCTTATCTGGTATGGAAGCCTACAATTAAACATAATCAAGATAGCAGTTGCCTCAAAGATAGCTAACTCTACTAAGTTTGCTAACAAGCCACTTACCTTCATAATCACCATGATCTTAACATTCCTATTTATGTGCACTGCACACCTCTCTCTGCCTATTTACTGTCTAAGCTAAGAAAGAAAGGAGGGGAGTAAGGGAATGAGAAGGAAGAAGAGAAAGAGAAAGGAGGAATAAAAGAACTGGAAGCTCCATGAAGGCAAGGAACTTTGTTCTGTTCATTGCTAACTCCCTAGAACTTAGAAGAATACCTGGCACATGGTAAGCACTCATTAAACATTTACTGAATGAATGTCATTTTTATTTTTGAATGTGAAAATAAAAGATAAAACAAGGTTTTTTATGTACAGTATAGTCTATGAAAGTAGTACTTTAAAATGTCCTTTAATGTCTCCGAGAAGTTATCAGAATAATATATATTTTCAGTAAGATCAATAAATACTTGAGTATGTTTGTGACATGAGTTAAATTTCAATTTGTAAAATGCAGTAATAATTACTAAGTTTTAATGTTAGTATAGGTTTAAAGTAGAAAATTATAGGTAGAGAGATGATTACTCATATACAAGAAACAAAAAAGAACTGTTTGCCTTGCAAGAGAAAAACAATGTGAAAATTGCTTTGGCCAAAAAAACAAAAAACAAAAAAAACCCCCCACCTTTTATAAATCACTTACAGAATATGTCATTTCTGACAATTACAAATAATTTTAACAGCACAAAAACAAAAAACAAATCTGATAACATACCTTGCTTAATTTTGCCCCCAAACTGGTCTTCCAAAAGTCCATGGACCACTAATTTATAAATCATGGCTTGAGCTCGTTCCAGATCAGCTAATCCCAACGCTCTCTTTATGGGTGACCGCATGACCGCTCGCTTCACCATGTGTCGCATCAAGAACTGCAGGGCTGCACGCATCTCCACGTCTTCATGAACAACTGGAGAGCTTGCACAGTCTGAGTTGTGGCCATTTTCAGCCAGAACTTTTGGTATAAGCAACAGCTCAGCATACTTACTACAGCCAAGAAGAGCACTAAGTGATTTCATAGCACCAAGGTAGAGATAGGACAGCTGGACTGCTCTGATTTCTGACTGGGCTATGTCATGGGTTTTGGATATGTGTTCATGATTTTTTCTTTTTCCTTCTATTACTTGATGCTGAGATTCCACACTTGGCAGTGTTGGATCTGAAGAAAATGAAGCTATCTCATTTTCTGATTTGGAGCTCAGGGTACCCTGGCTTTTGATATCGTCAGATGTTAAGCCTGTTCGTGTATCTGAAGCAGATTCACTCTCAGTTTTCTGCTCAACATCCCCTTTCTCCTCAGACTCATGTCGGTGTTTCTTTTCATGCCGCTTGATGCTCTGCTTGCCCATGTCTTCATGAATGCCGGTCAAATATGTGAGGTCCAGCAACACAGAAGCTGTCAGGCCTCGGAATCGTGCCACATCGAAAGGCAGTGGTTCACAGGGTTCCAGATTATACAGTGGAGTATCACTAGGCGACCAAAAAGTTGGGAAGCTTTAATAAAGATCAGAATGACACAGGAAGAAGCAAGTGAGGGATAGACAGGAGGAAGGCACAGAAAATAATGTAGACAAAATAAGATGCATCATGTACACAGTACAAAGAATACTTTACACAAACTAGAGAAGTCATTACAAACAGAGAAAAATGAATCTATTATGAGAAAATGAGGAGATGTGATGTTAAATGGAAAAGCGATGAGACATGCATGTGCTTTCAAATAAGAATATTTGTTATTATGTAACATAAGCCAGGAATTAGAAAAATTTCTGTGAAGAGCAGACCTTGTAGGCCACACAATCTCTCTTGCAAACTTTCAACCCTGCCACTGTAATGTGAAAGCAGCCATTAATGTACCTAAAGGAATGGGTGTGGCTGTGTAACTTTACTTACAAAAACAGGAAGTAGGAGGGATGGAGTTTGTCAATCCCTGATGTAAGCTATTTGGAAAGTCTGTTAATAAGTCTAGTTTCATTGTATGGGGAATGGTCACTTATAAGAGAACACTGTGCTTCATTAAAAAATTTACTTCGTAGTGTTTGATTAATGTGTCTACTTTATAGTTTAAGCAAAAACATGATCACATATTTTCTCATATTTGGTAAAAAAAATTGCCTGAACCTTAAAAATGTTATAATTATATAAAATGTAAGAGAAAGCCTTAGCGAGTACACAAAGTCTGGTGGCATACATTTGGTGGATTAACCTAAATT